TCACTGGGACGCTTTGTACGTTGTGGCCACAAACTTCACACACTTTATATCCTTCGGATCTACAATGGTCATGGACAAGGGCAGTTTTGCAGTGGCATTTTGTTTGAACACATTTTCTTCAAGGAATAAATTGAAACAGTATTTACAAACTGCTTTCTCTTCAGGAATCTCTTCATCGTCTTCTACTATAGAAAAGAGCAACAAGTTTAGCTCAAGCAATACCAGCAAGAAAGTTGGATATTGAATTAAATACCCACCTTTAGAAGTTGTCTCAGTGGTAATAAGTCTAATGATCACAACATTTTGCCCAGGCACAGAGTCCCTTGAGATTAGATCTCCGATCTATATAAAAGTTAACAAAGATTTAGCTTTTTGTTTTTTTTTTACACAATTAAGGTTTTTGTATTTTAATTTTAACACTAAGAGCATCTCGGGTTTATGACCTTTTTTAGAATCAAATTTAAATTTGATTAAAAATAAATCAAAAATTTTCTATAATTTTATACATAAAACCATATCAAATCAACTCAAAATTTTACTCAAATTAATGTAGATTCAAACCTTTGGTCCTTTACTCAAATTACTGATGGTTAGATTTTATTATCTTTTAAAAATCTAATGGTTATATTTTACTCTCATTTAAAATATGATTTGAATTGTATCCTCTACATCCATACACACATACCAATATCAATATATATATATATATATATATATATATATATATGTGTGTGTGTGTGTGTGTGTGTGTGTGTGTGTGTGTGTGTGGAGAGATTGAGCTCTGTTATTACAATCACCCACTTTTAAAGAAAATAAGTTTTGAAGAAAAGTAGAGAAAATAGAAGGGAGAAAAAGATTTTGAGGAAAAAAAACCTAAAGAAAAGAGGTCTTGGAATAAAATTAGAATTTATTAAAAAAATGTGAGTGTAAAAATTGTATTTATCCATTGGAGATGTTGAGATCAAAGAAAGTTTTTTACTCGAATTTGAGTAAGGGTTTGAATCACTATTGAAGATGGTTTAAGACGGAAATAAAATGAGTAATACTACTTGAACTTAATCGTTTGACCTAATCAATTGCTATTGTTGTAATATTGAATCTTGAAATTCACCATCTATGTTAGGATCAAATAACTCACATGTCTCGTAATCTTCGGCGCATTTACCCTCGAAAATGAAGGGCTATCCATACAAAGTTGCGTCACCTGAGAAGAAAAGAGAAATGAGAGGGAAAGAGATCAAAATAATCAGGCCCAAGACATAGCACATATTGATAGGGGTTTTAAGAGGGCCTGTATTTTTTTAGAAATTATAGGACAAAAAATACTATTTTTAAAAATATAGGTAAAAAAGTACACAACCCCTAACAAATTTCTAAAATACACTCTTCAGTAGAATAGGAACTGATTCCTATATTTTTGCTTCCACAACCAAAATTTAAGGGATCTCAATTGTTACACATAAATCCCTTCAATATAGCCGAAAATCTCATTTTTCCAAAAACTTCCATAAAACATCCATTTGAATTTCCAAAACTTCCGATGTAAATGTCAGCCAAGTGGGAAAAAAAAACGTGCACCACATTTCATTCAGACTTCATAAAACAAAAAAAACGTGCACCACATTTCATTCAGACTTCATAAAACGTTAAGATTAATTTTGAAAAAAAAAATATAATAATAAAAAATAATAAAGTAACAAAAACACACACATGACACATTTTTTATTTGTCTACAGTAAGAAAAATTACATTTCCGTTCTATAACACTCATTTAAGAAAAAGTTACCAAGTCAAGTAACGCAACAGTACTTAGGATACACAAAAATGACTGATTCTTTATGTAGATAATAGACATGCCAACTTGATCATGTCAATATATGCCATGACATTGACTTGCAATAGTGTGACATTGATTTCTAGTAGTGTGAATTTAATTTATAGCAGTGTGATATTTTCTAGTACCTGTGTGATATTATCTTGTAGCACTGTGACATTATTGTGAAAGACAGTAAATTATCCTCCGAATTAAAATCATCATCTTGATTATTATGATCATCCACATTTGAGTCATCATCATTGACATTTATTCTTACATGAACATGATTGACGTTAAGCGACCGTAACAGTTTTTTTATTTTTTTTAAAAAAAACATATGGACGACATTGTAGCAGTGTGAATTTGGTTTGTAGCAGTATGACATTTTCTAGTACTAGTATGACATTGTCTTGTAGTACTGTGACATTATTGTGCGAGACAACAAATTATTCTTCGAATTAGAATCATCATATTGATTATGACGATTTATATAAAACAAACAAGGGTTTTAAGGAGGTTGGTACCTTTTTTAGAAATTATAGGGCAAAAAATACTATTTTTAAAAATATAGGTCAAAAAGTACACAACCCCTAACAAATTTCTAAAATACCCTCTTCAGTAGAATGAGAACCGATTCCTATATTTTTGCTTCTACAACCGAAACTTAAAGGGATCTCAATAGTTACACATAAATTCCTTCAATATCGCCGAAAACCCCATTCTTTTAAAAACTTCCATAAAACCTCCTTTTGAATATTCAAAACTTTCTGTTAATCGTTGTTAAAGAAAGGATCTTTTCAAAACTTCACTATCCAAATCTTCACATTTGTAGCAGAAGAATGGAGAAGGATGGGAGTGGTTATAAATTTTTTTAGTAATGAAGAATCAACTCAATTACACGATCTTGGACATGGATTTGGAATCCGATTCATTAACATCTCTTGGTTATATTAAAGGAAAAAGTGGTTTCAGTAAAGAGTCTATCTGAGTGAGAATAATTTAGATAAGGGTTTGAATGGGAGTGGCTGTAGCAGAAGGATGAGAGTGATTGAATTTTTTGAAAAATAAATTGATAACTCAAGAAAAATGTTGTTTCTCCCAACGTTTTTATTTATTTATTTTTCCCCCCTCAATTACCTTTCTACTTCTAGTGCTTGATACTACATGCACACCAAGTATTCAATCATTTGCCAAAAAAAAAAAAATAGGGTATATATATTGTGATATGCGTCATGTCAATATATGTAGTGTGATATTGATTTGTAATAATGTGACATTGGTTTCTAGCAGTGTAAATTTGGTTTGTAACACTGTGACATTTTTTAATACCACTGTAATATTGTCTTATAGCACTGTGACATTATCGTGCGAAGCAGCAAATCATCTTTCGAATCAGAATCATCATCTTGATTATTACGATCATTCCTATGACATTTATCCTCACATGAACGTGATTGACATTTAGAGATCATAACGATTTTTTTAAAAAAAAAAACATATGGACAACATTGTAGCAATGTGAATTTGATTTGTAGCAGTGTGACATTTTTTAGTACCAGTGTGACATTGTCTTGTAGCACTGTAACATTATCGTGCAAAACAGTAAATCATCTTCCGAATCAGAATTATTATCTTGATTATTACGATTTATATAAAAAAAAAATTATATAAATATAGAAAAGATATGAATGTTTGAATAAAAATGAAAATTTTGAATAATTTAAGTTGAATGAAAGAGAAAGATATAATTTAAAACTCAAAAATGATATTTCATAAATTTAGGAAACTGAATCCCTAATATAACTGTCATATTTGTTTCTCACTAATAAAGGAAAAAGGCAATTTCATAAGAGAAAAAATTACAACTCAACAAAATGTACCTCTTCATCAAACATTTACACATAAAGGTACTTATACACAAATATTTTATATTGATGTATTTTTACACAAATAAGTATAATAAAATGTACATTTTCACAATTTTTCCAAAAAATAAATTATACAAATATGAAAAAGACATGAATGTTTGAATAACTTAAGTTGAACGAAGGAGAAAGATATAATTTAAAATTCAAAAATGTTATTCCATAAATTTAGGAAACTGAATTTCTAATATAACTGTCATATTTGTCTCTCATTAATAAAGGAAAAAGGCAATTTCGTAAGAAAAAAAATTTCAATTCAGTAAAAGTGTACCTCTTCACCAAATATTTACACACAAATGTATTTATACACATTTGTTTTATATTGAAGTATTTTTACACAAATAAATATGAAATAATGTATTTTTTCACAATTTTCCCATATTTCTATTAGCAATTCATGACTTGCTTTTCACGTAACAAATTTAAATAATATTATTTTATAGAAAACTTGAATTATATGAATAATTAAATTAAAGAATAAATTAAGTGCCGAATAATTAATTTGTATTTTAATTATTACTAAATTTAATTATTCATTTATTCTATAAGTTTTTGAATAACTAATCTATCATTTATTTAGGTATCTCTCAAATCTCTTTAGTCATTTCTCTACCTAATTATATTATAGAATTATTAAGTTTTCTTTTGTTAAATAGATTGATTAGATCACCTATAATATTATTATATTATTTCATACTAAAAAATAAAATATAATATAATATATATTTGACCATGTAATTAAATTGGTAATTACACGTGTATAATAATTTAACATGTGTAGGACTTTGCTTCTTTATATACATATAGAAAATTTTATGTAACTATACTACTAATAAATGAGTTCAAAAGAATTTATAAGTCTTTATAAAAGTGTCAAAAATAAGTTAAAGGTCAAATATGACTAAAAAGTAAAAATTAGATGAAAGTATATATGTGAATATAATTGAATTTAGTATAATAATTAGGGATAAAATAAAAAATCAAATTTTTTTCACAAATGCTGACATTTATAAGTAATATAAATATCAATATTTATAATTATTATACTACTCTAAAATGTCAAGATAATTGAAAAACATTTTTTTTCTATTTGCACCCTCCAACAACGAAAGGTATTACATCCTTATCCTTTAAATCAATGGCGTATTAAACTTAAAATCCTCTATGCTACTGCTGTTACAACACTTCCCCTCTCCCCTTTTCTCTCTCTCTCTCTCTCTCTCTCCCCAGCGGGTTAAAAACAAACAGACAACCCTCTTTTCACCTTCTCCATCTTCGTCTCTCGCTCTAATGTTGTGGATATACAGATTATTGGGCTTTGCTATACAGCTCAAGTGTTGCTCCTTAAGCCATTATCTTCTCTGTAAATTTCTTTAATTACAAAAATTCAATTACAAAATTGATCAAGAACTGTAAAGCTTCTTAGTGGCTCGATAGATTTACAAGCATCTCTCTGCAGTGGTAACTAAACCCTTGTTCTAATCACTATCCGGAGGCTGTGGCATGTCAAGAGTCAGGTGGGCCTCATTTCATCGTCATCACTTCTTCTCCGTCTCTGCAACCCAATAAGAAGAGGGTTTTTTTTTTTTAAAATCAAAATA